GAATTGGGTGTTATAAGTGTTACGAGTCATTCGTATAGATGGGCCCGTTGAATGAGTTGGTTGCCTATGTATAAAGCTTGGGTTGTTATGGTTGGTGTTGTTAGTATGTTTTTGTGACAGCTTTGAGGTGTTTTAGTTTTTATTTTTATTGTATTGGTTTCTTTATTGTTTTTAGCGAAGGAGTCTTTATATTCTTCTAAGCATTTTGCTAGTGGGTTTTGGATGTTTATTGTTAGTGAAGTGGTTGCTTTTGGTACTTTATTCTTTTTGTGTTTGAATAGTGAAGAAGAGTTTGTTGTTCCGTTGTCTCATTTTATTGAGTTGCCGCTTTTGGGTTGTTTTCTTTTAACAGGCTCTTCTATAACATTGACGACCTATCACCACAAATATGGTACGGTAAATTGTCGTTGATATCTTTTAGCTACTATTTTACTTGGGTGATGTTTTATATTGTTGCAGGTTTATGAGTTTTATGATAGGTGTTGTGATATAACATTTTGTTTTTATCAGGGTGTTTGTTTTGCAACGGTTGGTTTGCATTTTATGCATGTTATGGGGGGTTTGATTGTTATGATGGTGCTTTATGGGTCTGGTGAGCAGGGCATTCCGCAGGGTAAAATAGATTGTGTTGTTTGATATTGACATTTTGTGGATTATGTTTGATTGTTTGTTTTTTTGATTATTTATATTTCTTAGTTTTCTTTTGTAGGTTATATTATTGTAAACTGTCGGTTTGTGGTACCGTTGAATCTTTTGGACAAAGGAAAGATGTTAACATTGGTTCGTAATAATGTTGTTGATTTGCCGACTAATTTGTCGTTGAGTTATTTTTGGTGTGGTGGTTTTATGATTAGTAGTTTTTTGATCATTCAGGTTATTTCTGGTGTGATTTTGTCTTTTTTGTATGTTGCTGATTCTTTATTAAGATTTGGGTGTGTTGTTGATTTTACTTCAGAGGGTTTATTTGTCTGGTTGGTTCGTTATTTCCATATTTGGGGTGTAACTTTTATATTTTTGCTTTTTTTTGTTCATATGGGTCGTGCCTTGTATTATTCTAGTTATAGGAAGTTGGGGGTATGAAATGTTGGCTTTGTACTGTATTTGTTAATGATGGCTGAGGCTTTTTTGGGTTATATTCTGCCGTGGCATCAGATGTCTTATTGGGCTGCTACTGTGCTTACTTCTATTTTGAATAGTATTCCGCTGGTGGGTGGTTATTTATATAAGTTTGTGGTTGGTGGTTTTTCTGTGACTAACGTTACTTTAGTTCGTGTTTTTTCTGCTCATGTGTGTTTGGCTTTCGTAATATTAGGATTGAGTGTTGTACATTTATTTTATTTGCATAAGAGTGGCTCTAAAAACCCTCTTTTTGTTTCTGGAGGATATGGGGATGTGGTTCTTTTTCACTCCTTTTTTACTAATAAGGATGGTTTTGTTCTTATGGTTTTGTTGTTTTTGGTTTGTGGGTTTTTGTTGTGTTGTCCTGATTTGGTTTTGGATGTTGAGAGATATATACAGGCGGATCCTCTTGTTACTCCAGTGTCTATAAAGCCGGAGTGATATTTTTTAGCTTTTTATGCAATGCTTCGTTCTATAGAGTCTAAGGTTGGTGGTTTGGTTCTTGTTTTGAGGTTTTTATTTATTTTATGATTGCCTACATTGAATAAGTCCTGTAGCTATAGTTTAGGTCGTCAGCTTATTTTTTGGTTTGGTGTTTCTAATTTTATTCTTTTAAGTTATCTGGGTGCTTGTCATCCGGAGGTTCCTTTTATTAGAATTAGTAAGTATTCTAGATTTTTCATTGTTTTATTGCTTTTAATGTTTAAGGGTCTATGGGTGGTTCCTTATTCAGGCGGATTTCCTCGTGCTAATCTTTAGGTGTTTGGTAGTATAGTATTATTCTTGTATGTTGGGTCCTTAATTGTGTTATTTGGATTTTTTATGTCTTTAACACGGTTGTTGAAATGTTTGATTGTGGTTGAAAAATTTAAAGTATTATTGCTTCTTTTTTGTCTTTTAAGTCAGTGAGATGAATTTCGGATGCTTTTTATAGCCTTAATTGTTATTTTTACTGTTGAGGTTACTTTGGGTTTAGTTGTTTTGACGCGATTATGAGATTCAAGAAGTTTGATTGGTATAGTTGGGGTGTAGTGTTTTCCTTTTTTTCTTTTTGAGGGGTGGTTTTTGTTTTTTTGAGTATGGTAGGTTTAGGTCTTTTTGGTTTGTACACTGTGGAATGGGGTGGTGTATTTATTTTTGATTCTGTTAGGTTTTATTTGAGAATACTTTCTTTATTTTTGGCGGTCTCTATTATTTTTTCTAGGTTTGAATTGAATTATTTGTCTGGGTCTATGTTAAGTTTTAGGGTTCTTAGTTCTTTGCTTTGTTATAGTTGCGTTAGAGGGTTGTGGTTTTGGGTTTTTTATGAGATGTCGATTTTGCCTTTATTGTTGTTGTTAATTGCGGAATCTCCTTATTCTGAGCGGTTTATTGCTTCTTGGTATTTGTTGGGGTATGTTGTTGTTAGAAGTTTACCGATGCTTTTATGTATTTTGTATATAGGAAGTGTTTGTGGAAGATATAATCTTCAATTGTGGTCTTCAGAGTTTAGCCTTTGTAGTGGGTTTTTGTTGTATATTCTTTTATCTGTTATGTTTATTACGAAGATACCCTTGCCCCCCTTTCATGTTTGGCTTCCTATTGTTCATGCTGAGGCTAGTAGACCCGTTTCTATCTGTTTGAGTGGTTATATTATGAAGTTAGGTTTGTTGGGGGTTTGTCGTTTCAGCTATTGATTGTTGTCGGATTATATTTTTAGGGGTTTATATGTTTTGATTGGTCTTTGTTTTGCTGTGTTGTTTTTTTTTNTGGTAAGCGTTGATTGGCTTTTTTGAGTTTGGCCCATATTGTTATCGTTTCTTTATGTCTGAGTGTCTGTACTTTTGATACTGCTCTTTTGTCCTTTTTATATTGTTTGGGACATGGTCTTTCAGCGGGGGTAACTTTTATGATGTTGTGGATGATATATAATGTTTCTGGTACTCGGAACTGAGCTGTTTTAAAGGGTTCTATTTCTAGAAGTCTTTTGTTTCGGTGTTTAGTAGTAGCTTGTGTTTCTAGTGCTGCTTCTGTACCCCCAACAGTTAATTTTTTTTCGGAGGTATTGATATTGGGGGATAGTGGTTTGGTTAGTTTTATTTTTGTTTGTATGGTTTGCATCTATTTATTTATAAGGGGTTTGGTTCCTATGTTTTTGGTTGGTTGTTTGCTATCTCGGCATTATAGTATAAGATTTGGGTGTGGGCATGTCTCCAGGTTTATAGGAAGTGTTTGTTTTCTATTGGGGTGGTGTTTTATATTGTTTTTGGTGATTTAGGTTTTGTAATCTGGTGTTGTTATGCATGTTATGTTTTGGTCATAGTGGTAATTAGAAGTTGATTACAGATAGATAATGTGTTATCTTTCTTAGCTTAATATAAAAGTGTCAGTTTGAAGCGCTGAAGATACGAGTTTGTAGGAAGAGGTTTTATGATTTGTTTGGAGGTATAAGTTAAGTTTAAACTGTATGGTTCATGTTCATGTAATACGGGTATCGTTTCCTCCTAGGATGTTTGTTAATCGTTTTAGTTCTGTGTTTTCTTTGGTTTTGCGTTTGATTACAGGAGGTTTGGGTGATAAATTTTATCGTCTTGGTCTTTTTTTTTNTTTTTTTTTATTAGTTTCTTTCTTGTTTCTTCGGGTTCCGTACTTGTACGGTATGATTGGGTTTTGTTTGTTTATAGTTTTTAGAATATTTCCTCTTTTTTTGTCCTTATTTATAAGTCGTTTAGTTGATTCAGGTCCCGATAGGTTTTTTAGAGGGTTTGTCCCCCCTGGAACCCCAATGTGGATAGCACCTTTTGTTTGTTTGGCTGAAACGTTGAGGTATGTTGTTCGTCCGGTTGTTTTGATGATACGTCCTTTTGTTAATTTGACGATAGGGGCATTGGGGGGCATTGCCATAGGTTCATTAGGCTTAAAGTTTGGTTTGTGGGTTGTTTGTTTCTTATTTGTACTTTTTTTTTACGAGGTCTTTGTTGCGTTAGTACATTGATTTATCGTTTGTAACATTTTGTCCTTTTCGGAGGATCATTAGTTTTAATTATGTGGGGTGTCGTTGTGAGGGTATTTAGGGTCTTAGGTTTGTTTTGTTTTTCTTTGTTAATGTTTGGGTCCAAAGGGTTGTCTTTTTTTTGATTATTTTTAGAGCTTGCCACTCTTTGTGTGATTCCTTTATTTTTTTGTTTAGGGGATAATAAAGAGATGTTATCCGGGCTGTTTAAATATATAGTTGTCTCTAGTATATCATCCTCTTTATTATTGTGTGGGATTCTTAGGAGGGAGTTGCTTTATTTGTTGGTGTTAGGTTTGTTGTTAAAGTTTGGTCTTTTTCCATTTTGGGGTTGGGTATATAAGGTTTATTTAGGTTCTAATTGAGTGGTTGTTTGGTCTATTTCCACCCTTTTAAAGGCACCGATTTTCTTTTTTCCCTTTCTTCTTTCTTGTGGTGGGTATGATTTAGTTGTATATATTTGTTCTTTTACTTTTATAGGGTTGTCTGTTCTTTTTTGGTTATACAGGTTTAGTTGGTATGCTTGTTGATGTCATATGATGCTTTCCTCTAGAGCGGCTTTGGTAGTTATGTCCTTTTCTTTGAGTTCTGAAGTTTTGGCTTTTATTTTTTTTATTTATTTTGTTTGGTGTAGGGGTGTTATATGTTTTTTTTATATTTATGATGGTTTTGAGTTGGGGGGCATTGGTTATTATTTTTGGTTCTGCTTTTTATTAGTCTCTATGCCCGTTTCTTTTTCTATTTTTTATAAGTTGGTTATGGTTGTAGGTGTTTTTTCCTGTAGTTTTATGGTTGTTGTATGTTGGGTTTTGTATAGTATTTCTGAGCAGTTTTATTTATTGAAGTTTTTAATGAGGTATGTTCTTCCTAAGAGATCTGGAGGATTTATTTTGGAGGTCTAGTGTGGATGATATAGTTTAAATGTAAAATTCCTATTTTACACGTAGGGGATGGGGTTTACCCCTGTTATTAAGTTATGGATGAGGGGAAAGGGAAACGATATAGTTTAATTAAGATGCATGCTCTGCAAGTGTGTGGTAGAATTTATATTCTTGTCGTTGGTTTTTTGTTTCTAGTTTATTTAGAATTTTGGCTTGTCGTGCCAAGGGAGTATACTTTGTTTACGAAGCAAGGTGGTTCTGTTTTTGAAATTTTTTTATCTCTTGATAAGTAGGATTTTATTATTTGTTGTGGTTATGGTTTTTGTAGCTTTTTTTATTTTAGGTGAGCGAAAGGTTTTAGGCTATATGCAGATTCGGAAGGGTCCAAAAAAGGTTGGTCTGTTTGGTTTATTGCAGAGGTTTGCAGATCTCTTGAAGTTAGTTATAAAGTTTAAGTTTGTTTTTTTTCAGAATCGGAGTTGATTATCTTGAGTAGGGGTGTTTTTGTTAGTTTTGTTATCCTGTGGTTATTGTGTCGTTTTGTGTTTGATGCATAGCGGTGTTTTTATGGATAATATTATGTTGTGGTTTTTGATTATTACTAGAATAACGGGGTATAGTTTATTGAGAGTGGGTTGAGGTTCTTATAATAAGTATGCTCTTTTGAGTTGTGTTCGTTCTGCTTTTGGTTCTGTAAGGTTTGAGGCGTGTTTTATGTGTGTTGTTATAATGGTTGCTATGGTTATGGGTTGCTATGGTGTTGCTGGGATGTTTTATAAGCCTTGGTTCTTTTCTGTTGTTTTACCCCTGGTTTATGGTTTATGATTAGTGGGAATATTGTGTGAGTGTAATCGTACTCCTTTAGATTATGCTGAGGCTGAGAGGGAGTTGGTTAGTGGTTTAAAAACGGAGTATTGTAATGTTCCATTTACTTGTTTATTTGCTTGTGAGTATTTGATTATGGTTATTTTTTCTTGGGTGTCTTCTGTGTTGTTTTGGGGGGGCTTTTTGATTTTAGGGTTTTCTTTGTTTCATGTTTTATTTTTTGTTTGGGCTCGAGCAACACTCCCCCGTGTGCGTTATGATTATTTTGTTGGTTTTATGTGGCGGTGTGCTATTCTTATTTTGGTTTTTTCCTTTTTTTTCTTGTTGTAGATTAATGTGCGTGTAGATTGATGTTTAAAGATTGTAAGGCTGTTAACCTTAAGGAGGTATTTTTACCCGCGGACGCGTTTCAGTGTTGTAGTTTAATATAGAATGACAGCTTTGGGGGTTGTAGGTCTTTTTGTTAGAAGTGGGCTGAACTGATAGGGCTGCTTAGCAGGTTACTGTGATATAGTAATGGTGAGATTATATCTTCGTCGGTAGTTTGTTCTGGGGGTAGCTTAAGTTTAAAGCTTAGGATTCTTACTTCTATGATGTCCCGTAGGGGATTCCCCGGGTGTTATGTTGGGGGTTTTTAGTATTTTTATATTGTTTGTTTTGGTTTTTTTTGNTTTTTTTTTAGTGGTTGTTTTTCACCTGTTTGTTTGGAATTTGGATTTGAATATTTTTAGTGGAGAGCGGGCGTGGGTTAGTTCTTTTGAATGTGGTTTTATTGCTCAGCGTTTGGTTGAGAATTATTTTAGTTACACTTATTTTATTTTGCTTGTCTTTTTTGTGGTCTTTGATTTAGAGGTGTCGTTATTATTAAAACTGCCTCTTCAAGGCATTTTGTATAAGAATCTTTTTTATTATTTGTTTTTTTTGGTTTTATTGGGTGTGGGGTTTGGAATGGAGATTAGTCGTGGTTATGTTCGATGAGGTTATTAGTTGGAAGTTATAAGATTGTCGCTGCTAACGATAATTGGAATGCTTGTTGTATTCAACTTTCTTTGGTAGAGTGATCTAGGTTATTAGGTACTGTTTGTTTTCAAAACAAAAGGAGGGCTTTGAGTTCGGTTACTGAAAGTGAAGGGTTTGGGTTGATTATTTACGTTGGATCATAAGCGTGTTGGTTTAATTTATATGGTTATTGGAGTTTGAGGGGGGTTTCTAGGGTTGTCTTTAAGTATTTTAATTCGTTTGAATTTTTTGGATCCTTATGATAAATTAGTTTCTCCGGAGATTTATAAATATGTTGTTACTAGGCATGGTATAGTAATGATATTCTTTTTTTTAATGCCTGTTTTAATAGGTGGGTTTGGCAACTATCTGTTGCCGCTGTTGCTGGGTGTTCCAGATCTTAAATTGCCTCGTCTGAAAGCGTTGAGAGCGTGGCTTCTTTTACCTGCTGTGGTTTGTTTAGGTTTGAGTATGATAGGTGGTGCTGGCGTTGGTTGAACCTTTTATCCTCCCCTATCCACTAGTGCTTATACGGGTTGGGGTGTGGACTTTTTGATGTTTTCTTTGCATTTGGCTGGAGTTTCTAGTGTTTTGGGTTCTATAAAATTTATATGTACTATATTAGAGGGTTTAATAGAAGAGGGTACGGGTCAGTTTAGTATAATTATTTGGGCCTATTTGTTTACGTCTATTCTTTTGTTGTTGTCTCTTCCAGTTTTAGCTGCTGCTATCACTATGTTGTTGTTTGATCGAAAATTTGGTTCTGCTTTTTTTGATCCGTTGGGTGGGGGTGATCCTGTATTGTTTCAGCATCTTTTTTGATTTTTTGGACATCCTGAGGTGTATGTGTTAATCTTGCCAGGGTTTGGTATAATTAGTCATATTTGTGTTACCTTGACGAAAAATGATTCTTTGTTGGGTTATTATGGTCTTATTCTTGCTATGGCTGCTATTGTTTGTTTGGGAAGGGTGGTTTGAGCGCATCATATGTTTATGGTGGGTTTGGATGTAGAGACTGCTGTTTTTTTTAGTTCTGTTACTATGGTTATTGGTATTCCAACCGGTATAAAGGTTTTTTCTTGGTTGATTATGTTAGGGGGGACTCGTAGTCGTCTATGAGACCCTGTTGTATGATGAATTATAGGGTTTATTGTTCTTTTCACTATTGGTGGGGTTACTGGTATTATGTTATCTGCTTCTATTTTAGATACATTATTGCATGATACTTGGTTTGTAGTAGCACACTTCCATTATGTTTTGTCATTAGGCTCTTATAGTAGTGTAATTATCTCTTTTATTTGGTGGTGGCCTATAATTACGGGCTATAGGTTGAATCTTCCTTTATTATGGGGGCATTGGTGGGTTTCTATGGTAGGGTTTAATTTGTGTTTCTTTCCTATGCATTATTTGGGTATGTGTGGTTTACCACGTCGTGTTTGTGTATATGATCCTGATTTGAGGTGATTAAATTTGACAGCCAGGTTTGGTTCTATAATGTCAGGTGTTAGTGCTTTTTCTTTCGTATTTATCTTGTGAGAGTCTTTTATGGTAGGTAATCGGGTTGTTTCTTCTTGGGGGAGTAACTCGCTGGTATTAAATGTTGTGACTCTTCCGACACCCCAACATCAGAGTTATATTGTTGGTGGCAATCGTTGGTTGGTTTAGGTTAGCTTGTACTTTTTGTTTTAGGTTATAATTTGGATTGTTAGTTTATTGTTTAGAATCCTGTTTTTGTAAAACAGGGGTACTCTAGGGGGTATAGT